AGTGCATGCATAGCGATTTCAAAAACAAATAACCCTCATCCAATCCGATTCGGAATTCATATGGTTACTTGCTCCAGAAGGTGCTACGGCCTGATGCTTACCAACGCAGAATGGCGATGTAGAAGTGCACACCTGGGAAGTCGTTATCTGACAGTTGTCCGTAGGCCAACCTGAGCGGTAAGAAGGGGGTGAATAGGGGTTAAGGTAAAGTGATGAGATGGACGAGTTGTCCCCAAAGGGACGGGCGTAATTAATTACTAGAAAAAGCGAACGGAGAAGATGGAACGAGAAAGATGAGTGAATAATGGGAGCCCGTAAAACAAAAAAGCAGGGTATCAACAGTCCAAACGTAGATGAAACTGGAGGCATGGTTAACACGGCCATTACGGTTTTATGAGGAATCACGGGTTGCTCATTGGCTGGGGTTAGCAGTATAATATTCTAATATACCGTGGCTCCAAGGCTCAGTATTAGTGAAGCACACGGTACCCAGGTCAAATGTAAATGAGAGTGGAAAAGAATGGAGCCACAAAAAGTAAAAGGAACGGTAAAAACCTAGCACGTTGAAAGAAACATAGTCACAGTTGTTTGGAGACTTTACAAACATGCACAAGTAGTATGGAAACAATTTTCTTGGGACATCCACCGGCTCGGTTAGTCGGGAAGAAAGCGAGTACCAATGTCACTGACTCCAGTGGATTGAAACGATTTACAGAGACGTGCTTCCTGTATATAGTGGGCGTCTGAGGGGGGCTTGATGGCTCGTTTATAAAGTGCTTATCAACCCGAGCATACACCGTAAGTCAGTTAACAAATTGGCTTTTGCTAAAAAAATTAACCTTGGGTGAAAACTCATTAGAAACTAATGTTTGATCGGGTGTTGGCTGTCAATAACAATTGAAGTCAGCTGCTATGAATGCAAGGATAAGAGCTCTCAACGAACGAAAGAATGTTAAGGTGGTGTACATCGACTTCGGTAAGGCATTTGACAGAGTGAACCACGAGGTACTCATTCGTAAACTGAGGACCTACGGAATCGGTGGCACGCTACTTCAGTGGTCACACGAGTTTGTGGGACGAGAGTGTAGGTCAATGACTACCTGACAGACTGGTTCCCATCGATCAGTGGCGTGCCTCAAGGAACTGTACTTGGGCTAGTATTATTTCTTATTTATATATACGATCTCCCGCAGCAGCTCCAGTCACCATGTGCACTGTTTGCAAATGATTTAAAAAGCTGGAGGATCCCTGAGAACTAAGACGACTGCGCTCGCCTCCAGCATGACATAGAGCGACTGTCAATGTGGTCCACTGAAATGCAACTCCCTCTTAACGCAAGCAAGTCAGCAATTCAGCAGTATCACCAGATGTCCAGCCACTCGATCATACACCTTAAATGGCCAGTAGCTCTACCCTAACACATGTTTCAGAGACAGGAGTGCTCTCGCGGCATGATAAGAGATCACTAGAAAATAGATAGAAAATGTACGGTGAGGGAGTTCGGATGCACTGGGCATTACGACGGTTTCTCCACGTGGTCTGAAGAAACCGTCCCACCTCTATTTACCTCGCGCAGCAGACCAATCCTTGAATACGGTGGCCCAACTTACTATTCCATAACCCAACTGGAGAAAATGCAGCACATCGCAACTAGAATGATACACAGTCTACGAAAGTTTCCGTATGAAAAACGTGAAAGGCTAGGACTCTACATACTATCCTACCGCCGAGTAAGAGTTGACCCTACTATGACCCCACGAATACTACACTTGAATTACTTCCCCATACTGCGGCCAATAATTTATCTGCGGGAACCCTGTAACGCCTGGGGACACCGTTACAAACTCAGGGTCCCATGTGTGAACAGGGTATCACATCAGCTTTGTATAGCACGAAGAATGCACTAGCAGAAGGACTAATAGAAGCCGATTCTGTGAAGTGTTTTAAAACGCGTATCGATGATTATTTCGGAAACCTGTGCTTTTGTGGAACGATGCACATACAATATCAAAAGAAGACATCGTATGTCCGGAATAATGACAATACGAATTCCTAACCGAACAAGGGTAAACAATTCACTGATCAAACACAATCGCTGACGACTCGAAAATGAATGCTATTAACTTTTCATAATTCGATAGTCGTACAAAAACTTTTCTACTTGCTTTTATATACAGTCTCAGAATCCAAATGTGACGAATAGGTGATAGCCATATCTGAGCCTACACTAGTATCGTGGGCGATGGGGTCATATGAACGGCAAAACCACCTTTAGAACAATCGAAGATCTACATCGGTTAAGTGCCTCATCCGCAATGAATTGCGCAGTCCACTGGCTGATTTGTGACGGTCATCTGTTAAGCTAGAGTGCAACAATTACGTTGGCCAGAAGAGGGAAGGTGCCCACGATAGACAGCAACAGAACAGCCTGAATCGACGGTAACCGGCTCCGAATGCCAGGATCCGTGTACCGCGCGTAACTTACAAGTAGGAACTTAGAACACCTAAGCGCTAAGATCCGAAGGTAATGAGGTGAATGAAATAGGGAAATGACTCACTGTTGCCACACCGCGACCGCCTTTGGTAGATTTCCTTGCCACTGATAAATCAGCGCCAGAGCATGGTGCGATCCGCATCTCTCGAGATATCTCGTCAGATCCTCCACATCAATGTGCACCAGACTGGAGATAAGGTCAACCAAAGCAGTAGAGTGTGGGGAGTTTGTTGAACATTCTTGGTCGTGCAGATCCATAATAGTTGCATCTAGGCGTCCAGATGGGATAATAAGCTCATTAAGAGCTGGGGAGATGCCATGTTTTGAAAGCCTGACAAAAAGTTTAACTAGAGCAGTTTCGAGAAACTAAAACAAAACGAAAAAGTGACAATGGAACTGAAACGGGACAACCGATGTTATAAAAATACAACAATGAGAAGCGAGCAAAGGAAAACAATGAATAGATGCATAATCTAGCACCAAATAGAACAGTACAGCCTCTCGCTCACAAAAGGCTAGCTTACCGGACAACCCGCTCGGAGTGCCAGCTGCGTCGTTCGAGTTTTACCGTTACAGCAAATGGTTTGATGGCATTGCTTTGGGATGTGGTGAGTGTCCATTAACTCCGGAAGGGTTGAATTCCAGTAGCCGCTTGCTGAAATTGTGACTGGGCCCCAGTTCGATAACTGACCAAACGAAAGGCGCATGAACTGAGCAACCAGTTGCCCGCTTACAGTGGGCGCGATTCCCTGAATTCATCCCACTATTTTGCGGGCAGGGTATTTAGCCAAAGGCTGGGGTGATGTCCCCTACTTCGACTAAGGCAAGCGGGTATTATCACGCGCATGACAAAAAACAGGCTATTTCAAACTGTGCTCAGCTACTGCCGTTTCTGCTTCTTGCATTCACGCGACTTCGTCACCCACCAACTGCTCATTTGTTAACAACTCCTGTTATCATTTCCGAAGGCTTGGTAGAAGACCGATTAACCTATGTATGATGATACACAACGTTTTGGTTTTGAGTCAAAAGCGAAACCTTGTGCAGCATACTAAATATATTAACCAGTCGTCTAGCAAAGTTCTGACATGGTGACTTTCCGATCGGTTCCAAATATGTTCCAAGATATCGAGAACTCTTGGTATCCATTACCTGATTCTTGTGTTCATGGACGTAGATCCGGTTCCGGTTGCACCGCGCACAATGGAGTTCAACCCGCAGACCTTTTTCGACCCCGTTGTCACGTGTTGATTAAGGATCAATGCCTGACGCTGGTCCAAAAGGTATCGATTTCGCAGGCGTGCGTAGGTAAGTCCAACTGCGCATCTTATGCTGTAACCCACCCCATGTTATTTATTGTGTATACTACACTTTCTACACGTTTTCCTACCGCTGCCAACTTACTACGGCTAACCTCTAGTCTTGACACATGGTGACGAAGGTGGGACGGCATGTCTGCGCCGAACACTCCACAAATCTTCTGGTCCTGCCTGCTCTACTGACAAACCGTTTTTGAACAATTAGAATCGATTGTGAAAAACTATTTTGCGTATTTGAAGTTGTATCCCATCTTGAATCCGGCATCATCCTTTTCGGAGAAACATAAACACTTTTACGACAATTCCTTTGGGATGTAGGTCAGAGATATTTTGACGCCCTTCGTATTGACGAAGCCTGCTCTGTCCTGGATACATTCAGCGCTTTTTGGGGAGATCACCAAAGTTTGTTTACAGCTAGATACTTCTTTAAACTCTCCCAAAACCATACGAAAGTGTAAACCAATTCATCGCTTGTATACTCCAGGCGGTACCAAACTGTAAATACAATGAAATAGATCCAGCTAGGTTTGAAGAGACCATGTTGCTTCAATGCCTGATCTCTGGGATTTCAGACCAGAATACCCGGGGGAAAATCCTTTGCTAAAGATAATTTTTCAATGACGTGAGAAACAGGCTGTCTGCTTGCCTGGCAGAGGGAAAACCCTACCTAGCAACTAACAAGGTGTACTCTAAAAGACCCATCGGAGAATTTGCGATTGATCCATAGCACTCCAAAATCTAAAAGGACAATTAATAACGTCAGCACGTTCGGATGCTGTCGCTGTGCAGAGTGCCATATTTGTCATTCGGACTGTCGACATCTAAAGATGGTATGCAGAAGTTGCGGGAAGATTGGTCACTTGGCGCGAGTATGCAGATCGGTCAAACGTCGTTTGAACGTGAAGTATCGGGGAACGAGTCAGAGGGAAGCGTGTTCGAATTGTATTTCATTTGGTTCCCAACATGTGGCCCGCACTGTACACCCTAGAGCTTTATATTGAGAGATAAAAGATGCAGATGGAAATCGATACAGGAGCACCAGTGACGAGAATTAAGGAAAAGGCTGGAAAAAGGCTACCGCCCTTATCAGTTTATAATTCTGTTCTCCACACGTACACCGGTGCACCGATACGCGTCCTTGGTAAATGCTCGGTAAAGGTATAATACGGCTACAGGACACAGATACTTCCTGTATAAGGGGTCTCCGGAGATCGCACAAATCGGATTGGAAAGGACTGGGTACGCGCGTTCCCGGATACACTGGAGGTAATAAAAGCAGTCGCTGAGGTTTCAAAGCAATATTAAGCCGTTTTTACCGACAGCCATGGAAAATTTAAAGATTTGCAGACTTCGATAATGTTAACGGAAAACACTCGGCCCAAATTCACCAAGGCGCGCACACCATGAGGCCTAACGTGGAAGAATAATTAACTCGCTTACAAAACTAGTTAGTACCACTGCATAGTTTCCTGGTTGGGGTACATCAAGTGGACCTGTAACCAAGCTAAACGGGTCCGTACGTATTTGTGGTGACTACTAAAAAACTGTTAACCATTCTATGTTAGTCAGGTATCCGTTGCTACGCAGTGAAGATTTGTACGCAACTCTGACTGGTAGTGAAAGGTTTACCAAGCTTGATCTCAGCCATGAATATTCGCAGATTGAGCTCCATGAGCCTTCCAGGAAGCTTACTATTATTACCACACATATAGGACTTTTCCAATATGCTCGTCAGCATCTTGGTATTAATTCTGTCCCCGGCATCTCCCAGAGGATTATCGATAACCTGGTGAAGGATATACCTTTCACTTGCGCTTATCTGGACGATATTCTTTGCTAGAGACGCTGTGATACAGAACCTCTTCAGACACTCGCTGTTGTGCTCGAGCGACTGGAACGAAGCGGATTTAAATTGAAGATACCCCAATGTGATTTCCTTTCCTCTTCCGTTTGTTGCCTTGGCTACCTGCTGGATAAGCGTGGGTTGCATATTTTAAATGCCACAGTGAAGGTTATCATAGAAAGTCCGGAGCCGAGGAGCAGTGATGAACTACCTTCGTTCTTTGGTATGTTATCAAACTGTCACCGTTATTTGCCAAATGCATCTATCCACAGTATTATCCCAAGTAAATGAATTGCGACACAAAACGGTGCTATGGTGCTGGAATTATCGTCACAAAAACGCCTCCATTAAAGCCGATGCATTAAGTCGTCTACCGGTAACTGAACCTGTAGGAGAATACGTCCCTCCATTTGAACTGGTCAAGTTAATGCAACATTTAGATACAACACCAATACGAAGTGCAACAACCCGCCAATAAATGGACCGTAAAACATTAATGTCAATGATAAAAGGCTTCTTGAATGTAGGCTGGCTATCTTAAGGAACAGTAGACTTGCAATCGTTCATAATGCACATAAACGAGCTGAGTCTATTCGACGACTGCGTTTTCTGGGGCTCCCGGCTGGTCCATCCAAGTAAGGCGCAGTCAAAGATTCTTAAGCAGCTCCACGATGCACATCCAAGAGTGGCGAGGATGAAAGCGTTAGAAAGTGGACATTGCTGGTGGCCCAAAATCGATTCATACATAGAGAATTTTTTGAGGAACTGTGATATTTGTCAAGCGCATCAACCTAGTAAAACTCCCGGTCCAGTACACCCCTGGCTGTGGCCCGACAAGCCATGGCAACGGATCCAAGCCGACTACTTTGGTCCGATAAACAGGACAATGTTTCTTCTACTTATAGTGGCACATTCAAAATGGATTGATGTGTATCCAGTCACCCAAGTTACCTCTGAAGCCACTATTACTAAAATGCGCTCTCCCTTTGTTACATTTGGTATTCCAGAAGTCTTATGCACAGATAATGGTTCACCTTTTACCAGTGCCGAAGTTAGTTTGTTACCAACAATGGAATCCGGCATATCAAAACGGTCCAGTATCATCCTGCATCGAGCGGCTTAGCAGAAAGGGCTGTGCAAACGGTGAAACAAGGCCTACTAAAGCAGCGAGTGAGAACTTTACTAAAGAGATTGGATCATTTCTTCAAAGTTGAATATAGCGAACACGAGGTGTGGTTGGGTTGTGACTCGCAACCGCTATTGAGACCTCGGTTCACAATGAGGTAAACCTCGATCATTCCGATTGCAAGCACCGTATCCGGAATGGAAATATTTGGGTGTTGATCCTCCCAAGACTGGCGCACCATTGCCCGTATTGGTAGGAGCAACACCCAAATATCTCCATTCTTGATTATTTCTTATTTGCCTACCATTCCACACTCACTGAGACCACCGAGGAGTACCCGGTGGAACTGATGTTCGGCAGAAATCTCAGGACGAGATTTCATTTGCTGTTTCCGAACCCGAGTATTCAAGTAAAGGAGCGACAGAGGAAGTCTGTGTCATCAGAGGAGCTAAAAGATGAAAGCACATTCAGAGAAAAACAACCAGTATATACTCGGCTACCACATGAACAATGCTGGCAACCAGCAATTGTGCTCAGTTGTGCAGGAAGTCAAAACGAGCTGCAGCTTCCGGACGGCCAGATCCTCCGCCGACATTCGGACCGCGTACGCACCCAAAGCACAGAAACACCGGCCGAAGCGGAATCTGACACAGCAAGTAGCGGAGGGCGTGAAAATCGAAACAAATGAGATTCAACATACGGTCACTCATGCAGACTGCGCAGCAAGCCAAACTGAGGAGTACACTGGAGTCTCTCGATATTGATGACTGCTGTCTTGCTGAGACCCGACTACATGACCAGGCACCGTGCTTACGTTGACATTCCCCACTGACCAAGGAGCCACAAATCCCCTGTTTTATTTTCTGGTGACCCTGCAGCAGCCTCAGCGAATTTGGCTGGCGCAGGTGCAAGTGCCAAGGCTGCACAGCTAGGACGGTTCTTGATTAACAATCAACTGTGTGAAGTTCGGCTTCCGGGTTCATGTAGAATAAGCAGGCGCCACAAGGAGAGACGCAACATTTTTGTGACCACAGCGTACGCTCCAAATGACTACAGCTGTGACTCGGTTAAGGACGGC